GGCATCATTACATATTTGTTTGAAATTACACGCCTCTGCAGCAGCAGCAGCACACCGAATAGTAGACCGATGAGACCTGAGCATACAGTATATTAAACATTCTGTAACAGCTAAGTTTCCCAGGAGTTGCGTCTCCTTCTTTCTATCTACCAAAATGAACATTCCACAAACTGAAGGAAGAAGAAAGTCACATTTTCCATGTAGTATTCCTTGCACTGTCCGGTGTCCCGCCGTTCTACAACCTAGCCTTCCTGGCTGTCTTGTAGAACACTGTTCTGCTTTTGCTTACCTAGACGGAAACTGCAACATTTAGACCTACCTGTAATTACAAGGTACTTCTGTGCGTAGGGTCAACAAATTAACACATCATTATTTGGCGACGTTTGCACTTCACTTTTGACAAAAAGGATAAGATCAAACACCAAAAGCCGAAATACTCTAGAGGTGGAATTAATTGTTATATCTATAGGCAAACTGCAAGAAACACTGTCTGTACATACCAAAATGAATAATGTACACATACATTATGTATGGCGTCTGCACTATAATTAATAATACATTGTATAAAATGACATATCCGTATAATATACAATCCGTGCTTTCGTAGAGTAAAAACGTTGCAGATACTCCAGATCCGGTAATATTGCAGTTAACACGACAGTTTAGCAGCCAGCTAGAGGCGCAATACCGTAGTATTGTAACATCTCATTTGCCAGGTCACGAGCAGAACATGGTGAAATCCAATGCTGAATACGTCCTATCATTTGATTCATTCCATTATATAATTATGTGACTTTCCAACAGGGCCGAGATATCCCAGCTACAGGTTTAAGTCTTGTTTATGTTGCTGTCTTTCCAGGATGGATACAGGTTGGGGGGGTAGGGTTAAGATAAGGCTTCTGGGGGACAGGACGCCGTGAATCCTGATACGGAATAACCTACCCATCAGAAACTGTAATTATATATCAGCTCTAAGAATGATATCCTTTGTATTTGAGTACCATCATGTGCGTGAACAAGAGGTATTTCAGATGACAGGTTATATACTGCAATACTGTTCATACTGCCCAGCTTCTAGGACGAATAACCTGCATTTCCACGAGCTGCTACAGTTTAGTTGCTCTACAAATAACAGCGAGAGTTATATCGCCTCTATAGTATATATGCAGAGATTGTTACAGTTAGCTGGAAATACTTGGTAGGTAGATACTTTACATACAGCTAAATTCAGAACGGCCAGCAATAACTTTACTGGTATTTGGCAATAAAGTTCAGCATACCTCACGGTGCCCTGCAATTTTGTTTCATTTTAAATATTTTTAAATATTTGAAAATCTTTAAAAATATCACGCTGAGTATGTGATATGGCGGCAAACCATTTGCATTTTGAATTGCTTAACTGATTAAATAACCCGTTAATAGTCCTACTAGTGACTAATCGTTCGGAATAAGAAACATTAGATGCTTGATCGTAAATACACTTAGGATTTTATAAATAAATTTAATAATAAATTCTAGTTCTATTTTAAGGCCCCTACAAATAACCTACAATATTAATATTTATTAACAGCACACGTCACAGGCTTTGTAGCTGTGCAGCAAACTGATGTCCGCTATATTACTACTACAAGATGAAATAGAGCGAGGTTATGTGTGAGCACAGAATCTCCGCCCCACTTTGACTCAAATCCAGCCCTTTCTCAATCTGTCCCTAAACCGGCCACATTCCAACATAGTTTAGTAGTCGATACCAAGTCAAGGTGTACACTGTACAAGGTGTACACTGTACAAGGTGTACACTGTACAAGGTGTACACTGTACAAGGTGTACACTGTACAAGGTGTACACTGTACAAGGTGTACACTGTACAAGGTGTACACTGTACAAGGTGTACACTGTACAAGGTGTACACTGTACAAGGTGTACACTGTACAAGGTGTACACTGTACAAGGTGTACACTGTACAAGGTGTACACTGTACAAGGTGTACACTGTACAAGGTGTACACTGTACACTGTACAAGGTGTACACTGTACAAGGTGTACACTGTACAAGGTTTACACTGTACAAGGTGTACACTGTACAAGGTGTACACTGTACCCCTCCCTTCGCCTAGAAGCAGTTCCAATTAACCGTGGCATTATTTCCCTTTGTGTTGCATGTAATTGCAGTGTAATTGTAATTCAGTGTATATGTGGCGGAATAGTAGGTTGAAGATCATACCTTCAATATCATTACTCTGGGTAAAGGCTAAATTAACATTTCAGAGGTATTACAAATTCATTTATAATTGTTAAATAAAAGTTCTAAACAAGGGATAGTTAAAAACAACGCCCACCCAAGTCTAATCTTTCCCTAAAACAAACAACTAAATACAAAACTTCATTGTAGCTTCTGCCAATATCTCTTGTCATAAGCTAAATTACGGAGATAATACAGATCAAATTGAATATACAACAGACAGATCCTTACAGTTTCAATTGATTGCCACACAGTATAAAAGCCACGGACTGCGGAGTACACATCAAAAGCTGTGTATTTTCATTGTAGTTCAACAAATACAGATCTGTTGACTCGATTACCTGTTATTATTCTCTTTGTAAACGTGGAGTTAATTTTCGTCCAATTCACATCTACATAAACCTCACCCTTAATGAAAATGTGTAACCGTTACTTAATCCTTATTTATACAGACAGACCCCAGGTACTATATCATCAGCACACACACACACACACACGTGTACAATTACTTATAAATTTAAATAGAATTGTTCTTTACATATCCGGTGTGTACTTCTTTGACCTTTGAGGTCGTGACAACTGAGAGCATGTTCCGAGTATTGAGATTGTTGTAAAAATGTAACTGTGACAGTCAGTGTGACTGTGACAATGTCGATACGAACGTAACGCTGTCACGTGACGTCAGCACACGTGACGTCAGCACACGTGACGTCAGCACACGTGACGTCAGCACACGTGATGTTAGCACGGAGGCATGCTGTTCAAGTATTATTGCGACTACTACACTTACAGTACTACTCTCGTATTGGAGATATTATCATTAATAGTAGCTGAATATGTCTTACATAATATTATGTCGTATTAAAAATTCAGTGCATGCTTGAATTAAGACAATTGAGTCAATGGAGATTGGAGTTTTCTGATAGGGCAATTGTTCAAGATTGAATTATAATAGAATCGTGAATATAATATTCTTGTGTATACTTAGAAATAGCGCTGAATAACGGTACAAAACCTACTAAACGGTTATGTCTATGACTCAGAATTACTAAACTTGTTCTGCAGAATCAGGGAATCACTGAATTGGTTCTGTATTCGTTAATCTTTAATGATATACTTTAAACCTGGTTTGCAATGTATAACAGTCGGCACAGCCGTACATTGTACATAATCCAACAAGTTTATAATATGTACACGATACTGCTAATGAATTGTACACAACTTTGCCGCGAGTACATTGCAGACACCCCGTCACGTGGGCTAATCAAATCAGCCAATCACGGATCAGCATGGCAACCCACGTGACCCAGACTGGCCAATGAGCGAGCAGGGTGTGATAACTGGGAGGAGGATGTACCCTGTGTACGAGTACTGGCAATAAACTGATAGAAAGTAATATTAAAGTATTATTACACATAAGACCACGCACAATTTTACACACGCCTAGTTTTTCAGTGCATGCCATGCATGCGGCACAATAATCCAGCTCACAGAGAACATACACTTTACACTCGCAGCACTCAGCACACTGCAGCACTCCCCGTCCTGCATTTCTTGAAAAAATAGAAACCTAATTAGCTGGACAGGTACATGTAATACTGATGAATTAAACTGCTGTGGAGAGGAGTGATGCAGTGGCATGCGGGCGAGAGACACAAATTACCACCTATGACATACCTACGTGTTTTTACCACAATTTGTGCTGTGGCGGCGGCTTGGAAAATAATTATTAGTCCCAACAACTCGGTTACATAACATACCGTACGTGTGATATATACTAGTACATTGTAAACATTGCGACGACACCAGATATAGTGTACTACAGTTATATCGCTAGTACTATACACAGAGAGAGAGAGTGTGTGTATGTGTGACATACTTTAGTCACTATCTCGCAATCGGATACAATTACACCAGCACCCTGCATTCTCAGCAGCTGGACTATTTTTACATACTCCCCGGACGAGATGAGACGAGATAACATATTTGCTGCATTTCTACGTGCATATAAACGGCCGGTGTTATCCTGGAATGTGAGGTAAATGCTTGTTAATATTGCAAAATCAGGTGTAGGATAGACAACACGTTCGTGACTTTGCCGATTTGGTGTGGTGAGTGCCTTGTCAAAGATCAAACTAAATGCCGTAAATCGTGTGGTATCATGTGCGTGCCGGCGTGCGGCATATCATGTTGTACTGCATATATTATGTTGTACTCAGTTATATACTTATATTATATTTGTGTTATGTCAAGGATTTCAACAAAGTTATAATAGCAGGAGATCATGGGCCACTGCCCACTGCCCACTGCCCACTGTGCCAACATTACTGTGTGCTACTGAACTAACATTAGTGCTTTAATTTGATTAGATGAGGAGCTATTTCTGAAAGTTCACATCGGGTACTAACTACTTTCACTGTGTATTTTCAAGTTGTACTGTACATGAAAATGAAATGAACATTCTGTGAACGTAGCATGTTGCTTGCGTATTATGAAAATTTAAAATACATCGATAGAATTTATTAATTTCTATCCTAAATTAACACCCGCCCGGCCCGGATACAACCAAAATGTTTAAAATAGATCCCTAAATTCCCTTCCCATACTATTAAAACATGAGTCAAAATATGACAACATTAATTAACTGCATGTTGTCAAACAAATCACCCAAATTACAAGAGTCAAGACTACTGCTGCAGAGATTGACATTTCCAGCACCACAACACACACAACACACATTACCAACATTCTCTACATACCTTGAGAGCTGCGCGCTCATCCTCCCAGCGTATCCGATCAACCTCATAGGTGGTGAACTCGTGCTGCAAGTAGTGGAGTATACCAGGCACTGTATACTGAGGCCCCGACGAACCCCCTTCCAGACTCTCTGTCATTCCATTCTAGCTGGAAACTATGTGTCAGTGTTAAATACGCTGTATAACACATTAGTATCGGGTATGTTAGATTGTTAGCTAGTAGCAGCACACGCCGCACGCCACAGCTACCATATATTATTATATGTAACGAAATATAGCACTAACTTTTACAGGGAGAGAGAGAGGGAGAGAGAGAGAGAGGGAGGGGAGACTACAAAGTTATGTTTGGTATGGGGGATATTGTATCTAGTATTTAAAGTTGTGAAATGTGCGTTAGTGAGAAATGTGAAACCTTGCCTCTGAGTGCTGTGTGTGTCACTGACGAGTGACGGAGATGGAGTTTTATGAATTGGGAAATTAAAATGTTTTTGGAGCAGAGCAATAAGTTATATTATTATTATATATCATACAACATCATGACAAAATCCGTCTTATAAATGTTTCATTCAAAAATAAAACTTCAAATCAACCGAATCATGATTTATCAAGTTCAGATTCCGGTTCTCTGGTCATTAAAATATTCTTGTAACTCTCATAATTTGTAACAAATTTCTTATGATCAGTCACACTCTGCATCTCCATTTCTGATTCTGCTAAACTAACATCCTTTAACATAGAACGCAGTTTATCTTCAATTTCTTTAGCCTTGAAAGTGAGATCCATAGAAAGATTGGAGAAATCAAGATTATTAATAGAAGCACGATCATTTCGTTCAGAAAAATTAAACCGGGTGAGAGCAGCATTACAAGCCTGAAGGGTAGCATCCTCGACAGAATTATCTGCAGCATTCGCTATACACTCACTGTCCACAAATATACCAATATTGTACAAGGGGAGTGCTGTGTCCTCGCCATCGATACCTATAATCCTAACCTCTGGATTACCAGCCTCTGTAGATGACAAATGTTCTTTTAGTTTGCTTTCAGCATCTTTGAGATCTTTGTGATTGACAACATTCCGGAAATCTAACTGAGCATAGTAGTTTAGAATACATGATTGTAAAAATGTGGGAGCAGAAAGGTAAGGATGTTCATCGAAGAGGAGTATTGAAAGGAAGATGCCCCCCGTAACGTCTGAGTATTCCTCCAAAGTCAGAGCATCTTCTGACTTGCTTCTGATTAACTCGTGGAGACATAGCTGCTTGTACATGGAGTAACATTTTGGGCGTGAGAAACACATCTCGGGTACTGATAGTTTATACAGGATTTCAGAAGAGATTTTGGGGAAAACATCAGCAAAGTAGTTCATGATATACCAAGAGAGTTGTGACCGTCCCAACTCACAGATTTCTGCCTTGAGTTTAAGAATTTCTGGGTCATGACAGGTTGAGGGATGTGACAAAAGCACAACAAAAGCTGATGAAAGCAAAGATTCTTCTCCTTCAATTCTACTCTTTTCAGGGATATAGTTGCTGTTGCAGCCAATTCTCTTGACAAATGAAGACATTTCTGTTTCATAAGAGAATGCTTGTCCTACCAGTACATGATTTGGAATATGCCAATCATTTTTTACTTCAGAATTCAATCTTGCAACTAATCCTTGTCGCTCCTTCTCCATGAGAAATATCTCCTCCCTTGTGTAACCATGGCCTTGTGCAAAAGTTATTTTGGTAGCACGACCAAGTTGTTTGGCATTAGCAATGAGTCTTCTGCAAAACATCTAGCTGTAAAAGCAACCTGCAAAAAAATTTGAGCAACATTAGCTTCCAGCTTTTATTAATTAGAAATAAGTATTTTAAATCCAATAAATATATCATGGGGCCCTGCAAAAAAGATCAGGATTCTTCTTAAAATGAGTGTACCCCTTCAGTACATCTACATTGTAGTGTATTGTAATCATAGTACTAAACTATTCTATACTATCATGTGGCACAATAAGCAAATGAAACAGATTAGGGGTAAGATAGTGGTTCTCAGTTCTGGATTGTAATATCTTTAAGTAAACATTGAGTTTAAATCTAGGTAAATGCATCAGTTGTGACAACATTAAAGGAATGTTGAACCGATTGATAGGCATTACTGGACAGTAGAAGTACTGGCTTCTGGAAACTACACCCGGAATGGGGTAAATTTGAGATTAGACTAGTGCAGAACCCACAAATATTTTTGAGAAATGAGATTTTCAAGGGATATGTTTTAGATGTTATTCAAGATTTTTGACAGACAGGACCATGCATATTGCAGGGTTGTGTAATAGGATAATTGTCAGAGGTTAAATATGTTTTATCTGGTGATCCTCATGGGTCAGTTTTAGGCCCTCTCTTATTTGTTCTGTATGTTGATGATTTGCCTGACATTGCAAAAATAAGATGAGGTTATTTGCTGAAAACCTTCAATTAATTGGTAATGCTGCTAAGAAGGAAGTGTTGCTGAAGATATCGAAGAGCTAGAAGTTTGTTAAAGCTAGAAGTTTGTTAAAGTAGTTATAGTTGGCTTTTACATTTTAATCCTACCAAGAAGGTTGACCTCTGCAGTCTGCACTGGAAGCGTTTCATCTTGCTGGAGACTTATCATGATATTGAATATTCTCCATTTGAGAGAACTTGCTAGTGATTGTAGACATAGGAGTGAACTTATCAATTTCATACAAGTTGGGTCCAAGTCAATTTGAGTTTTGGGCCATATAATCTTATAAGGGATAACGTTTCGGTTCTAAATTAATTTAGGATTGTTGACATTTGTAAGATTGAAATGTTTGATAATGATGATGATGAAAATCTAAATATTATAGTCTACAATGAGCATTTTAGTAACAAATAGTACGGGTATATGGCCCCCAGAATATAGGTGGCCCCCAAAATATAGGTCATGTTAGTGGATACAGTTCTAACCAAGATAAGCGATACTAATGGGATCTGTTACTGCTATGTTGGAGTAAAACATGTAACTAATGTTTCTGGATAAAAATTTTGGACCTACATGAGGTATTTTGGTATATTTGGTCATGACAGCGAAAGATTTAAACGATGTTGTCATTTTCTAGAGGGGTAAATATGGCGAAAAATTGTCATGACAAAAATCTGTCCAACACATGCCATTAAGACTACTGGTATGAGTATAAGTATTATTTTAAGCTATCTTTTTATCGAGACATCTGCAAACTGACAATTTGGAAAAAAGTTATGGCCACCACAATTTTCAAAAACCCTGAACATGCCCAAAACCATGCTTTGGGATGCTCTACTTGTAGCTACTAGTCTCCTGAACCCACATATCAAGTTTTATCAAAATTGGATAAAAATTGGCCGAGTTATGGGATAAAAACAAAAACCATATGCCCATATTTGGGCATACGCACCAAATTTGATCGATTTTGGTCCATAAATTGGTCAAATATCAATATTTTTGAATGAAACCAACTTTATATGGAAGGTAAGCATATATTACACATTCTCTATGATTATCAGCTCAATATCTACCTAACTGTGGATTCTGTGTTCAAATAATCGCAAAAAATGAACAAAATCGCCAATATCTCAAACTGACTTCGCTCAAAACAATAGAACTCAATAGGGTTTCAATATTTTCACATGAAATTTTCAGAATCAACGTAGAATTGTCTCATGACCTTAAGTTTTGGGACAGAATTTTGAGTTAGGCCTTTAAAAAAATTTGGCGGCCAAAAATATCTGATTTACAGTCATTGAGGTGCACATTGTATTGATACAGATAAAAACAGCCCCCCTCAATCATATCTAGGGACACTCCTTCAATCTTATTTAAGTATTTAGTTAAGATCCCTACTAAATGAGTGCATGAAAGCTTTTTAACTAGTAAAATTAAAGATTTTACTCATTACGGGTATATATATATATATAGTTTTAAACTATTTTCACAACTACAATTAAATACATTTATTGAGGTATGACCAAAGTAATACGAATGTAATACGAATGTAACGTTAATGGAATGGAACAAATCTCACATGTGAACTCTTCAATTTGCTTCAATTCAAATCAACAACTTAATTCAAATCATCAACTCAATATCATGGACGATTCAATGGAAATATTTTTTGGAAAACTATTGTCGGAATGTGATCAAAAATGCAAAAACTGTACTGCACTCAAATCTCATGTCAAGTTTCTCGAGCGGAAAGTGATCATCCTAGAAGACATTGTTCAAACTTCTCAGACTATAGCAGAGATTAATGGTACGTTGTTACATCAAAGTACCAATCAGTCAATAGATTATCGGGCTGTCCTGGATAGGTGTTCAGATGTTGCAGTTCAGACAGAATTTGAAAACGATCAGATTGAATATGACAGTGAATGCGAGGTGCCTGAATCTTTCATGCTAATCAATAGTGATGGCATCATAGAAGCACCAGATTCTATTATTTCCAACAACACAGAAAATCAAATCAGTGGGAGTGCAGGATCTGTCAATCCATGGAGTGGCAAGTATTATGCTGAAATAGATGTAACACCCATATCTAGTGTGGCCTTAAGTGTAAATGACGAAAGCCCTGACATTATCATACCACCTGTTGAACTCATTGATCAGGCACCGTTTCAAAAATTCTCCTTAGACATCTTCCTGAGAGAATTGGATTTTAGCCACCAGTTTCAAAATAGGAAAACAGCTTACTTTGGGGACTTCCCATATGTGTATAATGGGGGAAGTCACGAGGCGAAGGAGATACCACATCAGTCCTATCTGGCTGCTATCTGTTCATATCTTGATGTGTTACTCCCGGATTATGTTTACAACAGTGCTCTCGTAAACTACTACAGTACTGGGACAGAATGCATGCCTATCCATAGTGATAATGAAGAATGCATCGATGAAAACTCTTACATTGTTACAGTTTCTCTGGGTGCCTCTAGGACGATGCAGTTCACAGAAATTCAAACAGGAAAAGTGGTGTCTGCCCTAGATCTAAAGCATGGGGATGTTTGTATCATGTCTAAAAAATCTCAGCTTCATTACAGACATGAAATCTGTACTCAACCATCTTGTACAAACAAAAGGATCAGTATCACATTCAGACTGATCAAACCTGTAGCTGTTGTCCAAAGATTAACAAGTACACCAACCAACATGTGCAATGACAATTACCATGACCCATATGAAAACATCTCAAACTCCAGCGGCTATGTACCTTATCAAGAAGACGAGTTTATAGTTCATCCATCAAGGAAAACGAATGGTGCTTATCAGCACCGACCTCTAACCCCACCCTATACATCTCCACCACCCCATCAATCAGGGCGGCATGTTAACAGACAACAACTGTTCGAAAAGGAGACACCCAACGATGTGAGCACTGTTTATATCAGCAGCAGCATGTTTAGGCATCTGAATGAAAAACTGTTGAGCTCTTCATCTCAGAAGGCCAAAGTATTTTTCTACCCAGGGGCCAACTCAATCCAAATGTCCCAAAGACTCTTTAGCGACAGTCAGTTCAAAGTTCTCAACAAAGAAAAGGTTAAAAAGGTTGTTTTACTAACTGGTACTAACTGTGTTGATCCAATTGACCTCAACACAATGAACTTCAACAGTGCCACCAATGACATGGAAGAATTTGTTCAAAAATTGTGGGCAGAATTTAATAGTGCAAAAATATATATCTTAAATATTCTGCCTAGAGCTGTCACTAGTAAGAACATTATAGTGCAGGGACTTAATCGATACTTAGAGAATATGTGTTATAAGCATGGGCTAATATACATTAACACAGAACATGAAAATAATCTCTTTACTTTAAATTATAATAGAAAGGACAAGTATTTTGGCAGGGGCCATGACAATGTGCACCTCAATAAGTTAGGAATTGCCAGGCTTGGTAAGCATCTCAAATATGTAACTCACTTGTGTTAAACTTCATTAAAATTCTATAATCCAAGGGTATCAACATGAATAATAACAGGATTACTGTTTTATCTGGTTTAAAATGTTAGATCAGCACAAATTTCTAATAATTTAACGTTTTTATATCTCTCAAGCTATATTTATCACAAACAGAAGTGAGTTACTATTTTATGCTGTTAAATTTTATGATTTAAACTGCAGTATGATTGCTGATCCGAAATCCAATTTAAATCATATGTATGACATGATTTGAAACTTAGTCTACTTGAGGAGACTGCATGTGGATTTGTTCCCCATTAGCTTTGGTTTAACCTTATTCGTACCTCAATAAACGATAATCTCTCTCTTGGTCTATGTAATATACAGGGTGGCCTGACTAATCTGGCAAAAACTCTCGAACTACAGGAGCTAATATTTCGCGAAAAGCTTGACATAATTGGAATTAATGAGACAAACCTTATAGAGTAAAGATACAGTTAAACTGCGAAGGCACAACACCAAACCAACCTTACTCTATCTCCCAAAAACAACCTTCTCCTGGTCAGCCATGTCCCTCATCCTGCACTTGACCCCCGCAGAGGTCACAAGCCCATCGGAGCACAAATGAGCGAGAAACGGGGAAGCCTTAGCTACCGGGCTAAGGACTGCATCACTAGCAGCGAAATACGGATATACCCTCCCTTTTACATGCGTTCAACCGGCACCCGAACCACACGCTGTTTCTTAGACATAACTTCCCACTTACATCAGTGTCTTCTCGCATCAACTGGCATCGGCAAGTGGCGACACTGTGTAGACTCAACCCTGAGCTTGATCAGAATCTTCAGTCACAAACCTGACACCGTTTCGGGGCTTTCATTGCGATACGGTTTTCTGTCAGGTGCCCCAGCAGTCTCTCTTGGACCACCATCTGATCTGACAATCACCCGAGGATACCTGCTAGAGCTCGCGATTTACGACGAGTTAGCTTATGGCACCTCTGGCTGTTAGGTGAAGTCATAAAGCTCAAACAGCTCTCATCTCCCACTCTCTTTTCCTAGACAGCAGATAAATCCATCTTGAACAATGGGCTGCATCCTTCCCACAATCTCTGACCAACTTCTTGAGGGCTCTCCCAGTCAGACCAATCTTCCTTGATGCACACTCCAAACTTGCTGCGACCACACCTCTAGCACCAACCTCAACAGCAAAGCTGAAACATGACCACCCATTAGCTTGTATTTCCGCTTGTAGACTGTTATACCGATCAAGCTTCAGCTCATGGGATGCAGCTATTCTCTCTTCCGACGGTACTGTAAGCTCCCACCAGATTACTCTCTTGGAAGCTTTCGAGAAAAGAACCAAATCTGGTCTTAATCTGGTCGTTGCTATATCCGACGGGAGGAGGGTGAGAATCCCTGCCACGTTTTTGGTCAGTTTCGCCGGGGCTCATGTCTTTCCTCGAGGGAGCATTAGTGTCTACAGAAAAACTGACAAATCCTAGCGAAGTCCAATCCTAACCACATCTTCCATCAGAGGTGGTGCTTGGTCAGCTGGTTACTGAACGGATTGGCCTGGAGAATGGCATAGTCCTGTTACTCTCAAGTTAACCATAGAGGGGGACAGGCGCTGTTCGCTCACGGCTGGTTCTTGGAGCCAACACCCTCAGCCCCACATAAGTGGGAGCACTGTCGGTGGTGGCTCACCCAGATAACGGACAGTGTCTCTCCTTCTTTCTTCTTGGACTTGCATTGTTGCTGGCGAGTCAGCCAGTAGCAATGCAGCATCTCACTCACTCAATCACCTCAGCAATTCGGTCCTTTTTTTTTCATTTGCATTACTTTCGCTCATTCTCCTGTCATAATGCATTCTCTGCTACCATAATGCCTTTCTTACCACGGTGTAACACATGTTACACCTTGCGTCTTTCTCTAACACCATCATCATTTCAGCAACCTTGGAATTTCAACCCTACACAGGTACACAGCACTATGGATATCCACTCTCCACTCTACGGCGAACACAAAGCTAGAGATCTAATTAGGATTCGAGTACCCCGGCTACCCTTGTGACATACATATGTGGAAACCAGTTTACGCAGCAGTACATCAACACAATGGATCAGCACTACGAAATCTGATATCTGCATCATACTACTCCGATCCAGAAATCTTCGCTAAACCATCACATGAGATGAATAACTACAAGTTGGACTCCACATAACATTATTCCTTGTTCTGATCAGTCAATAAATGTAATCTGCATCAATTTTCCAATAATTACATCTTCTTACTAGTTTATTTTCCCTCTCAGGGCTGGAACGCAATGTTACAGCCCACTTTATAAATTACTAAAACTCGAGTTATTCCAGATTGACGACTTGACACAGATATTCATCAGACAACCTAAATAAAGGACTCCCACTCTCCAAACCAGTAGAGATCCAATCACTGCCTCCAGGGTACCCCTTCATCCGGTATTAGCAGTTCCTCCACCACCACCAGGTTAGAACACTCCCACTAATCACCCCTAAAAAACGAACCTACCGCCTTGCTCCACCAAACACAACTTCAATGAAATCCAGTTACTCAAACCAGTTAAATCCGTCCTTCAAATTTCCCGCATTAAACGTAACGCGCGAACGCCATACAACTCAAGGACGTAGCAACCTAATAGTCGTCATTTTTTAAACAGAAAATTTAGTGCGCGCGCGAGCCTGCGCGCGCACAAGCCTACGACTATTCCACGAGATTACGACAAATCCACATAATTGAAACGTTCCATCACTCCAGGTTGATCTGATTAGTATACTCAAGGAAGATGATACCAGATCAGTCCCGAACTTCGCCTCAGCATCATAGTGTCGATAAAGAGGATTCACAAACAATCGAGATTCACTTACAAATATTTGCTATTACTTTTTACAATTGCAGTTATATTCGTTGTTTTAATTATCTCCATCAACCTTGAATCTGTCACTGCCCATACTACATTCCCAAAATTATCTTAGCGCTCTTTCATCGTCAAACCCCACTAGTTCACTACATACGCCAACCAATAAACCTCAATTAGGATGGTTTTTGCAACACATTCTACAAGCTTAGAACTTATAAAGTAACAGCACCATCATAACCCACACATTACCTTCGCACAAATCAGCTATTCCCCATTCACTCACGAGCGTCGACATATCTCCGCATGTACATCTGTAAACTGGAGCGGCCCCCCGCGATGCGGAGCAGGTGAGCTACCTGGTTCGGGCTACTTCACTTATCAGAGTACGCTAGCTCCACAATACACTCGCTTCAAGCCCTCAGATTTGCACGCATCCATCACCTTCACAGGGCCGGCTGCCCACATCCTGTAAAATCCTGATTCTATATGCTCGCGGGGTCTATTACCTGTTTGAGCTCTATTATTACGCGCGCGTGCCCAGTGTACAGCCCACCGGCTTGCGCTGTCCTCTTGGCATTGTTGTCGCCTTTATGACCTTCAAATCTAAAAGTAGGTTGAGGGCACTACATGGGGTCTAGCGCTGCCCCGTGTCAAAATACATACATACATACATACATATATCCGACGGGAATTTCAGCTGCTCATCCAGGTCTGCTAATACTATCCAATCAGTGGCCCCACTCAGAATCCCAAACTCACTGACTTTCGACCTCTTCACCTCCTTAAACCTCCCTCCTGCTGGAACAAACTCAATGGCTTTCCGAGTGACACAAGAGCTCTTCCTCTTGTTGACTCTCCGCTCACAATGGAATTTCACTTGGTCTGCTATTTGTTTAAGCACCTTATCGTGGCGCCATCGGTATCTCCCTTGACTTAGTGCCACAGGACAACCAGCCAGAATATGCGGCACAGTTCCCAACTTGTCACCACACAGCTTGCACATCCCATCCTCATCCTCGCTCCACTTGGATGCTAAAGCTGGTGTAACAAGCGTGCCATACACAGCACTAAGCAGAAAACCGATTAATGAGTCCCCATACTTGAAGAGCGTGAGCCAGCTCATGTCAGTCCTTGTCACCAGCTCTCTCCAATTACCCCACCTGGACTGCATCTCCAACGTACCCAACTGCACCTCTCTTTCCTTCCTGATGTTCTCCTTAACCCTATCTAACACCTCCCTCTGCTGCTCCTTTTCTGACATCTTCTCCCAGGGCTTCTTCCAATCACCGAAACCAATTCCCGCTCTACTAAGAGGTTGCACCATACCTCGCACTGACTCACACACCAAGTCTCTTTCAGCTTCGTGAAGCTGAGCATCTGCCTTCCAAACTCTCCCAGACCGCACCTGGGGTTGCACCGCTCTGATCAAAGCATCCTGAGATGTTTGATATGACTGCAAGAGACGGCACTTTTCTACTTTCCAAGTGTCGGTTAGGCTGTCGATGGGGAGAGCAACACTGGATGAATGACTAAACAGGCAAGAGCTACTAAGCGTGTGTCCCACTCCTAGCCATTTTCTGAGATGACTGTTAGTTGTTTGCTCCCAGCGAGAAACAGTGCTGATCGGGATATCATAAATGGCAAGTGGCCACTTCATCTTTGGAAGGACCATATACTGATACCCCCAACATTTCTGCAGGCCGGTGAGGGAGCTAAGATCGAGTCTACTGAGGTATGTAACAAGATCCTCGTGTGTTTTCTCGATTATAGCTTTGTCCTTTCCTTCTGCCCGAATCCACCTCCCTAGAAACTTGATTGGTTTCTCAGATACATTCGGGATCACCTCCCCGCTAAGCTGCAACCTCGCCTGACTACCTTCTGAACTCTCTACAACCCACTCCACTGTCACTCCCTTCTGGTAGACTAGTGCCCTAGACTTAGACGACTTAAGCTTGAACCTTGACCACACAACGAACTCCTGATAAACATCAAGCAGGGAAAAGCTTGACATAATTGGAATTAATGAGACAAACCTTAAATCTAATATAGACACTAGTACACTTAACTTACCCTTAAACTTTGATTTTATAAGGTGTGATAGACCTAACGATAGAGGAAGAGGAGGGTGTGGTATATTGATCAACCAAAATGTTAACCACAAATTACTCAATTTAGATATAACCTACTCTGATATTTCTAAAATCGAAGCTTTATGGATACAACTCAAGGACGCCAATCTTTACATTTGCTGCTTCTACAGATCACAAAACTTTTGTCATCTAGATACTTTCCTTGATTATATGACTGAATGTATGATGAAACTTCAAGGTAAGAAAGTAATATGGATTGGCGATGTTAATGTTAACCAAAACTCTTTATCTGATCTAGATTATAAAAAGTTAGATATAACAATGAAGCTCTTTGGAATGATACAGACTGTTACAGGAATTACTAGAGTTGCAAACTTAGATGGTAGAATAACGCAGAGCACAATAGATGTTGTAATGACTAACTGTTACTCTAATTTCATAGAGTGTAAAGTACTTGATGATAGAATAGGAGATCACCAAGCTCTCAAATGTGTTCTCGACTTTAAAGTAAATAAAGCTAGTAAATTCCAGAAGGTCCTTATCAGAGACCACTCCTTAAACAATCTAAAAGCCTTAAGCTATTTTCTGGGATCCTGCAGTAACTACAGTAATATTCTAAGCTGTACTAATGTAGACCATGCCCTAGATGGACTTAATCATCACATCCAGGAATCGTATGACAATTACTGTCCACCTAAACAGATAAGATGTAATAGTAACTTTCTTTGTAATCCCTCTAAAGAACTGTTGGCAGAAATACGGAAGAAGAAGATGCTTTTCAGAAAGTATAGAAAGTGTTTAGGACAATTAAACAAATTCAAGTGTAATTGTATTAATGGAATATGTAAATGCAGAAAAAGTGAACTACATAAGAAATGCTCTACTTCGTGGGATAACTATCGTCCCCAAAGAAACTATGTGACAAAATTATCCAAAGAAAACAGACGTACAAATATTGTTCAGGACCTTACTGTGAAAAGTGCAAAAAACGATTTGAAAGGTATTTGGAAAACTATCAAACATGCTTCAAACTTACCTGGAAAAATAAGTAGCTCTTCCCCAAGCAACTTAAATGTTAACGGAGTTAACCTGCATTTTGCCACAGTTGGTACAATAATACAAGAATCGATTAAGGAAAAGGATTCAGACGACTTCCTAGAATATATGCCGCCTCCAACAGAGTGTAAACTCTCTGTATTCGAAGAGGTGACTGTTGAACAAGTAAAAGAATATATACTCAGTATACCATCAGATAAATCGATTAACGATATCATGCCCATTAAAGTATATAAGTATATTATTCCCCAAATCATCGATCCAGTAGCTCATATTATAAACCTTAGTATGAAAAGTGGAACAATGCCGTTGGCATGTAAAATTGCATCAGTCACCCCAATTCTTAAAACTGGTGACCCTAATGATCCAAATAACTACCGGCCAATATCCATACTCCCCCTACTTGGAAAATGCATAGAATATTTTGTTAACCAACAGCTTACAGAGTATGTTGAAACCAATAAACTGCTTACCAACCATCAGTATGGATTTAGAAAAGATCATTCCACCACTTTTCTAATGCTTAATCTATTTGATAAAATATTTACGTCTAAGGAATCACAGAAGAAACCTGCAATTGTATTCTTAGATATTAAAAAGGCCTTTGACACAGTAAGCCATAATATTTTATTAAAAAAATTAAGTATTATGGAGTTGATGGCTTTGTCATAAAGTGGTTCAAAAGCTACCTTGGGGACAGAAAGCAGCACACCAAAATACGTGGTAATGTAAGCACATCACTCCCTGTTAAAACAGGTGTGCCACAGGGTAGCATATTAGGACCAATTCTATTTAGTTTATTCATAAATGATCTCAGTAGAAATTGCACACAATCTACTGTTTACTTATTTGCAGATGACAGTGCACTATATTTTGATAACATTTCCCGAGGCATATATGAGAATGTAATTAAGGATATGAAAATTGTGTATGAATGGCTTAGAATCAACAAGCTGAGGCTAAATGCTGCAAAATCTTCATTCATTGTATTTGATAGATCACCTAATCTGGACACGTTGTCAATCCCTCTGGATTTGGAAAAAGAATGCCTATTTATAGAAGAAACTAAATCTCAAAAATATTTAGGTCTCATGATAGACAATTTATTGAACTTTCAAGACCATATTGATTATGTGAAATCAAAAATTGCTAAAAGAATAGGGGCATTATACAGGTCGAAAAATCTTCTTCCACTGAAATATAGAAAAATGTTTGTAAATGCTCTTATGCTCCCCCAATTCGACTACCTGGATATAATATGGTGTAGGGCTGCCAAAACCAAACTTAATTCTCTTGATATATTATACAAGAAAGTAGCAAAAATTGCTCTGGATGTTCATTGGCAGGAACCATCAGTAAATGTATATCGAAATATGAAGTGGTTACCCTTACACTTAAGAAGACAACTCCATCTATCAACGTATATGTATAAAATTCTTAATGAGGCTGCACCATCATCATTCACAGATAAATTGTCTTATGTATCCGGAGGATCATGTGATGCTGAGAGGTGCAACCTTTATATTCACAAATCCAGAACACACAAAACCTTTACATATTTAGGTGCAAAATGTTGGAATACAATTCCAGAGAACATAAGGACTATAGAATGTAGTGTAAAATTCTCACAATGTATGAAATCTAAATTTATGTCAGATGTAATTCAAGGAGTCTCATCCTATGAAATAAACAATAGTTTCGACTATTTCTACACTCTAGCTATGTGACAACTGAAATAAATTTTATGGTGCTGGAGTTTTTGTCGGGTGGAAAGGCCCCCTGCGTTATATATGACCTATTTCCAGAAGTATAGAACTTTAAACATCTCCTTTACTCGTTCCCATTTGTTATCATTGCCAATCTATTATTGTTCTATACTTCTCTGTATATAACTGTAAATAACATTACTAACGTAATCCCAAAGTGGGCATCTATGTAATCTTAATTGTTACCTTCATGCCCACAGTTCACTGTTAAATCATATCTTATTTTATCACTCATTAATTTATTACTCATTATGTTTTACATACTATATCCTTATGTCCCTAGAAGGGTGTTCTGCTAACAGTTTTCGACTGACTTGAATGTCCTGCACAGCAGATTGAAGCTTCTTAAATTATTTTTTATTCTTATTGTATTGCTGTGTAAATTTGATTCTAATTCTAATTCTAATTCTAAATATGGCCCCCAGAATATAGGTTTTAAAAAAAAATAGCGACCAAGATTCTGCATTTTCTCTGTCACCCTGAGCATTAAGGAATGTGGGGTAGTGATGAGAAACAGTTAAAGAACATATGCTGAAGAGATGGCATCATCAAAATGTATGAAGGTGGAGTATTTGAGGACGATTTTTGCATACCTATATTCTGGGGGCCGTAGTTTTTGATTTTTTGCTATTAAGTATACTCTAAACCATTTCAATTTAGTATCTGGAGCCATTGGCATCATCAATACAGTCTCAGCAACATATTCTGACTGCATTATATAACTGTCTGTGACAATTTTAGAACAACTTAGGAACAGATGTTTGGACCTATATTCTGGGGGCCCTGTTAAAAAATGGTATTTTTACAGGTGAAAAAAAAGTACACTTAAAAACCTAATAATTATTTTCAACTACCCAAGAAACATTTAAAGGGTTATTATGTACATATTTACAGCCCTAAACATGCTTAGAAGTAGTTTTAACACCTGTTTCTAAGTGCTCAAAAAACGACCTATATTCTGGGGGCCATATACCCGTATGACAGATCTGAAATAAAAAAATAAAATCCCTAAAAATATTTACACCCCAAGTTAAAAATATAAATACTTTATTTTTTAAAAATATATAAAATAAGGTGGTTGATCAGTCACTTGTGTCATTACGACGACGTCGTTATATCAAGTCAAAATATTCCCCAAAATAATTTAAAGACGATTCCCGATCGAAAACGTTTTGGTAGAAAAAGTTTCTCAAGTTACATAAATATCATTGGAAATGCAATTTTATGGATAAAATCAATAAAGCTTACAAGTAAATCCCAAAACAAAGTAACACACCCAACAATGGTTGAGATGTGATACATCCAAGCAGTCTAAGTCAACAATAATATAATGAGCTAATCTAAAACTAGCTCCAATGTTCATGTAACCAGACAGGTTCTACCAATCCAAAGAGTTAAGTAGGTTTCCATTCAGTCAGTAGTAAACAGTGAGGGACTTTATTACAGGCCTTTTTTAATCTCTAAAAAATTGTGTATCTAGAGCAAAACACACAGTTTTGCTAGTACTTTAGTTAAGCTTTCGAAATTGTCCCACATTCAAATGCACAGCGGGGTCAGCGGGGCCTTTCGTTACGCCACTGGCCTGAGCATGGATATAATGAGGGGTGTGCTAGTGACTCCTTTGCTGCTCGATTGGACGCTGATCGCCTCAGTAGAGGTAAAGAAACTGTCACCAACATAGCTAAGGGTGGGCTTAAGATCTCAGCTATACAGAAATCTATTGAGGCCTTTCATACAAAGAACCCTCTTGTGCAGGTAAAGAAACTGTTCTTAAGCTTCGGTGCCAACGACATCCGGTACTGTACCCAGGGTGTCAATCATCTCAAGACCCCTGTGAGTGACCTTATGAAGACAGCAAAAAAACTTTATCCAAATGCACGTGTTTTTGTACAAGCTATTCCACCAGTCCACCCCAACGGACAAGATAAAATCCCTGGTAATGTTTGTGCTATGAATAATTTGATCTTTGATCGCTGCTCTAGGCATAAACTGTTTTACCTTGATGTTTTTTGGGCTTTCTTAGACCGCTATGGAAACAGAAACGAGAGATTATTTCCTAAGTGTGACAATAGGGGCTTTTATGATATTCATCCCAGCCC